GTAGTTGGCAAAAAAGAAAAAATAATTACCAATCAAGTGCTACCGACGTAGCACTTATAAAGAATCTGTATAATTGTGAGAGGAACATTGTCAAGTACTTTACGTAATTCTACATGATTTCTGTTTTTGGGTTACGTGTGCAAAAATCAATCATCCACGCATAATAATATTCTTAAATATAATTTAATAGATTTCAGATTATTTAAAAGAGGAAAAAGAAAAGAAGAGAGGGAATTCACATTGAATGACATTCTTTTGGTCAATAGACAGTCCAGATGCGGCAGATATTCAGCTTTTCTTCATGAGCTTCATGTAAAAAAAAAAGTGATTTTAGGCACTTTTCCTATTTTGGTGTAAATTTTCGTACGAACTTTTACCTTCTTTCTTGCTTTCTGCAAAATTGCAAGACAAAGTGTCAGAAGTTGTACAGAATTATTGGGAGTTGCCGGAAATTATGAGTTTGAAACTCAATCTTCCTTAGTAGGCACCGAAGGAATTTACAGCATGTTTGAATATAAATTTAGTTCAAGAATTATTTCTTAAAGAGATGAAAATTTTTAAGATCTTTATCATGTTGTTTCAAAATCAGCATTTTCTTACACACTTATGCATTGTTATAAAACGTGTGTATATGCATATGCTCGATATATTTTCGAAATGCCTCGCATATGGGGTATGCGCGTATGATGCGGTCACCACATTTCGTTGAACTCATATGTATGCTTAAATGCCAAGATGCTCAAATATTTGTGTTAAAAAATATGTCAAACTTAGTCTAGAAAAGTGCAACCCATTTTTATAACTTAAAAAGTGGAAAACTTCATATTTTAGAGTTTAACTATGGCCAATTTCAAAACTAAGAAATAAGGTTTAAAATTTCAAAAATCGGATACTATTAAATTTTATTTATGAAATAATTAATTAAATATATTAATGTTACAATTCTATACAATTTGGTTACAAATTAGGGAAATAATTGGTTACAAATTATTTCTCATTCACAAATAAAAAAAATTATAGGT